ATTGGAAGGCACCGAGTTCGCCCTTGTCTCAACATCGGTTGTTATCGCTGCAAACTCTTTTCCAAGGATGGAGGTGCGCGGTGGCTCAGTGCATTGTGTTCCAGTGCTTGTGTTGAATCGCATGGTGGGAGGTCAGCGCTCAGCTTGGGGCCCCTTGATTTGCTTGACAGAGAACGTCGAGTGAGTTTATATTCTTTTCTATGATGGCGGTACCTAATGATCGTTTACGCAACAGGCTCTATTGATTCTCAGCGTATTCTCTGGCACACCTACATTCGCCCACTCCTTCTCCTAAACCAACGGCTAATGAAAGTGGACCTTCGCCTCTCCCTCAAATTCCACCCTTCTCTGCACAAGCAACTCGTCTACACTTCACAGCTTACCATCCCCTCCCTCAGGCACGGAAGCCAAGCCCTTCTCACCTTCCTCGCGACTGATGTCGATTGTTGGGAAGGCCACTCAAACCCCACGGATGCACGGCTTCATTTCGGTGTTTGGAGTCTCGGAGGAAATTCAAGGTGGAAAGGTGGTGAAGTTCTCTTCGTCCACGAGCGGATATCGTGGGCCAGGCTCGAAACAACCTTCTCCGACAGGGAGAGACGAAGACAGTTGAGTTGCAGGGGTCGAATGCATCTGGAACCCCAGTCGTCTTCCCCCATTTCCCCTTTTGTCGGCTTCCCCAAAGTTCGAGGTTCCCCTCAAGCCTCTCAAAGACGCCCTCAAGTCGCCGTCTTTCCGAAGAGGCCTCTCCATCGTCGTTGGTTGGGGTTCAGACACCGATTTCTCAAGCTCTGAGAAATGGGGAGGACCACGTTGAATTCGCATATGTTGACTCGGCACTCGATCGCTAACACTGCTTCAAAGACTGAGCAAAGAAGGGGCGATTAAGAGCAGAAGGGACGAACACGCGTAGGTTGGATGAACATAGTGCTATTGCAGGTGTCAGCTGTGGGATAGAGTTGTGATTCTGGGTGAAGGTAGAGACATTAGACGTGGTGCTCCGACTCGACGTCGATGAGGGAGAGCCTGTGCGCGATATCGGGAGGTATGCGATCAAGGACAGTGATGGGCATGACGGGGTCAGACTCCGTCAGACGTTTTCGTCAGACCCCGTCAGACCCTTCTGACCCTTTTTCGTCAGAGTCAGTGCGTGACCGGGAGATTAGGCCCGGTTGAATTAATTTAACATATGTATGTACAAAAAAAGTTATTTAAGGGTTATCGTGCAAGATGTCGTGGAACTCGACTTCGACTTGTAAACTAGTTTCGGCGTGTGTCCAGTACTCCCGAAAGAAAGCTAAAGAGGCAGGAGACTGGTTAGAATGAGTTGGGTAGTGAAAAAGATGCTTGAGCATGAGAGATTCTGCTCTGGTGAGAGGCTCATCAACTGGGACTGGATCGGGCTCCTCATCCGCGTCGTCACCGTGTGCTTCCACCTCGTCAACCTCTTGGACAAGACCTTGAATAAGGTCGACGAACTCAGGAATCGGCTCCTCGTCGATACCTTCTTCCGTCGACTGGTCAGGTTCACCAGTGGTGGTGGAGTCGGAGTGGGTGGTGACAGAATTTGAGGTCAATGATGAAAATGGATCCGGATCGTCGTGAGGTGACGTGGACTCGTCGTCTTGGAATTTGCGTTTGTTTCGTGTTTGCGCTGGGCGGCCGTGGCGTTCTTCAACATCCGATTTCACGAGCACAATTTTGCGTGTCTGCTCATGGTGCATGCGATTCCGATGTTTGGTGTGAACAATGCCGAATTTGCTGAAGAGCCGTTCCGTGCCAGCCGAGTTTGCAACGATGCTCAGAATCCGCATCGCGAGCTTGACGATGCCATTTGGGCCGTTGTCGAGTCCCGTGTCGTGTTCTCGCCAAAGGCTCACGAGGTTCACATGTGATTTCTGTAGATACGGACATGAGAACCTTTCGCATGCCAACAATGGATCACTCACCTCAGCTGTTGCCAGCTCTTTGAGCTCCCTCAGACTCATGGCTTCGTCCGACCAGCTTCCCACTCCGGCGATGTAATTTGCAAACGACTGCCTGAATGCGCTATCAGGATCTTGATCGAAGAACCGCCGGAAAGTCTTCTTGACAAGTGGCCAAAGCCCTCGCATGAGCTTGAAGGGACTGTTGGGGTGGAAGCAACGTGTCCGTATGTATGGGTTGAAAATGACTGCAAGCAGGAAGACGGGTTGATCAGCCTTTTTCCAGCGCTTCTCCAGGCTCTCGTGAATGCCGATGCGAACTGTTGCCTCGATTTCAGGATTTGAGAAGGTGAAGAACAAGTTTGCAAGGGTTAAGAGAACAACGTCAAGGCGTGCGAAATCGCTTTGCGTGACGTTGGCGGCTATGGCAAGAGGTTCAAGGTGATTTCGGATGCTGAGATCTATTGTAAGTTTCACGCAAGCATTCTCATTGAACAAATTGGACTCACATCTTCAAATCACTCCAGAAACCGCTATCTTCGATGATTTTCATGATCTCCTCTGCCTTTCTCTTCTGTTCGGCTTTGGCCCCCGCACACAGAATGAGGACGGCACGCGATTCCTGGTCCAGGACTAATAAGCGGAAGAAGTATTCGAGCTCCAGGAGGCGGCGAACGGACAGATAATGGGAGGTCCAGCGCGTGAGCACAGGAAGAATGAGGGCCAGGACCTTGGGAAGTTTGGTGCGTTGTTTGTCTTTCAGTATTCCGAGTGCACGGCTGTGACTGTTGAACCACTTAACGACCTCGAGCGCATTGTTGACAACGTTGATGAACCGTGTCTTGAGTTTGAAGTAATCACCGACAACGAGATTGATCTGTTTGTATTTGCAGGTCAGTCTTTCATTTCACGCAGCACAGAAAGCCATTCACCTGATGAGCCCAACAGTCTAACGTTACAATCCAAGGATACTTCGCGCGCAAAAGCCTTCTCATCTTCAAGGATTCACCGCTCGCATCCGTACACCAGGCCACGAGAATGATACCAAGCACGGTGAGACAGTACTGGATCTCTATCAACACGATATCCAGTAGTGTTTCTGCATTTTTGGGTTTAGATGAGATGTCGGCAAGCCCGAGCATGTACGGCTAGGAAATTGTGTAAGTCGAGAGCCTTCTCTGCTCATACTTGACGAATGACGAGACACACCTTGTATTCCACATTGACCATGGATGCAATCAACGACGTTTTAGCGATATTTTTCCAGCCATCACACTGCCCTGTTCCATGTTGCCCTTTCACCGTCGTTTTGATCTTCTCCACAATCTTCTCGCTCTCTTCGTCAAGAATCCGACCGGACAACTGCTTACGACCTGGCATCAAACTGCCCGGTACCCATTTCTGGAAGAAGTAGCGCCAGTACGGATGCTCTGCGACCCACCATGCGATATTGCACGTTACCATCAGAAAGCAAAGGTCTGCCATCCATTCTGCCTGTTGAGCACTTGGCCAGACTGGTGGCGCTGACGTCTCTTCGTAGAACACGTCTCCCTCCGCTGGCGAGTGCAAAGCAGTCCTTCGCCGCTGAGATGGCCTCTCACTTGTGAGGCTCAATGCACCATGAGGAGATGGCATCGCGGGGAGGCTTGCCGGCAAGGTTTGCATGGGTGATGTCAGGCCAATCGAGGCCAGACTCGAGGTTCTCGAGCTGCTTATTGGCTGTGCCGGTGTAGGTGCCGTGGGGCGCTCATTTTCCTTGTTGCCTGCCTTCGTTGCTCGGTTCTGCGCATAACTGGCCAAGGTTTGCGTAGCCTTCTGCTTGACTGCAGCACTGACATGCTCGCAGTCCTTTGCAAGATGCTTCCACATGTCCTCAACCTTTCCGCATGCGGCACGTTCAGAGGTTTTGACTATTAACGTGAATGTGAGTGACTTCTGGAATACTTGATTGGCTTCCTGCTCACATACCTGTCTCTTCTATCTCCCCTTCAGTCCGCGCGCTAAAACGTCGTCCATTTGCGACATCGTCCAATTCCGCGTGAAGAATCCGTTGCACTCTGTTCCGAATGCAAAACTTGCACCACACCTCGTAGTTGGACTTGTTAGTTTTGTACTTTTCTACACCTTTATGATAGTGTTCCCATACAGGATTTTGACGAGACATGGGGGGAAAGTAAGAAGAATACTAAAGCTCATCCCCTTGCCCTCAACCCGGAGCTACAACTTAGTGCTCCACTGCAGTACCCCACTATAATATGATTTTTCGGAGATATCACAATTTAATACAATTTACGCTCTTCACGTGAGCGAGGTAGTCACGGACTGACCCTTTGACGAAACCTGACCCAGGGTCTGACCCCGTCTAGACTCTTGACCCCGTCAATCCGTCAAGGGGTCAGTAGTGACCTCGCCATCACTGCTCCCCGCTACCCACCGCCCAAACAATTTAGAAACTCACAACTTCATCGTCGTTTCGAAGAGCTAGAATATGGATAGACTCCCGACCTTTGCTTGGTTGGGCAAGTGGCGAAGAGGGGCTGCTGTGTGACCCCATCTTACTCATCCTCCTTTTTGGACACAGGCTCGCAGAATCCCCGCCCACGTCGGCGATATCGTGGTTAGAGATGTTCCGCACCAACATCTTCCACTCGTCTTGAGGATGTTGGTGAGTAAAGATGCGGGTATGAGGGAGGTAGTGCCCCTCCGTTGCGTTGTACAAACATATGGCTACGGCGGATTTACAAGTACGCCTCTCAAGAACACACTCTCACCCTCTTTGTACGAACCATATCCCGTCTACCAACATACACCGCCCTCCTCCTCGTGCACGCCCTTCGTGTGCTTTTCCACCCTTCTCACTTCACTTACCCTCTCATCGCGCGATTCCTTTTATAACGCCCGGATTTGGATACGGGGGACGTACCGCTGCTTTATGGGATGTTGTATAGCAGCGACAGCGAGGGATGGAAGAAGGAGCGAGCGTGGATCGTAAGGATGCTTGCTGATAGAATGGTTGGGACGGGTTATTGGAGGGTGTTGAGGAGAAGGCATGGGTGGGATTTGCTTGCTAGATTGTGGCAGCGTGAGGACGATGCCGGGACGAGGTTGGGGATACTTTAGGTGAGTGATTCAATGGGGGGAGGTTGCATAAGGATGCGTTGCTGATGTGCGTTTGGCGTAAGGTTCTGGCGAATCTGATGTGTAATCTGCAAGCGGTCATGTCGCTGATCTTGACATCTGCGCTGCTTTCGTGGATTGAGATGCAGTTGCTTTCAGGGACGAAGGATCGCGTGGGGTGGTGCAAGATCTTCAAAGGCGTCCTCGTTTTTGTCGATTTGAAAAAGCTGGATGGTGCGTTGGGAAGCGAGTGGCGGACGACGATATGTCGTTGTCTTTTGAGGTTGTTGGATGATAAAACTTCACGTATGTTTCTTTTCCGCTCCTTGATTGGGTTCAGGAGTCTTGATGTGTGGTACATAGATGCATACTTGCCACTTGTGCTTCCTGTTATTCCGAGGTTGTCGAGCTTGGAGGGAATGAGGGCTGTTGGGTGTTTGGAGAGGTTGATGACAAAACAAAGTTAGAGGTTACGTCCTCAAGACTCTTACCCGTAAGTCCTCAACCGCAATTGCAACCATTACATCTCGCCCACGACCTCCACTCCCCATTCTCCCTCTCAGATCCATTATCGGCATGGGGCTCGCGCGTTGAGATGACGTGGCGCGCAGTTACGTCGGATAAGAGGACGTTGGAACGTTGAAGGTCGTTTGAGATGGGCTGTCAAGTCGGGTTGTTCTTTGGCGTGGAAGTTGGGGAGTGGGTCAGGGTGGAGTGGCTGATTAGAAGACGTATCTCGTAGTCAACGGAATGGAAGTACAATATATCAAATTCGCCAGTTGTCTATAATTCCGCCTCTCGCTTCCTCTCAATTGCAACGAAGTCGAAAATGAATAAAAGCTGCACGTCAGAATTGAACTCGCTCTCAGCCTATAATTACCGTGCACCAAATGTCATGATCATGATTAATACAGGAATCAAGTTAACGCGATAACAAAACGGCGTCGCTACATCTACGGAAGAAAGCTCGAACTGAATGACCGCATTCCTCTACTCCATCGTATAACGGCCATCCGTTTCGTAGATTACAGTGTGCTTGACGGAACCGTTGGGGGCGACGACTATAGAAGTTTTAGTTATAATTGTAAGGGAGATAAATGAGGCCTTACAGTTGATAGGCGTCAAGTCTTGAAGATCGAGCTCGCGGTCGTAATCGGAGAACATCTCCGTACGTCCATCTTCAAAAATGTGGGCTGTCCAACATTGAAAAAAATAGCGTTTGCCGCCCTGGACGAACCCAAAAACTGTCGAGTGACGTTGACGAGTCCTCGAAGTATGGAGGCCGTTGCTGAAGGATGATTAGTATGCAGTATGGGATCAAGGGTAAGAACTCACAATATGACGACCGCCCACTGATGCTCGCCGAAAGAAGTCTCTACGTTGTTCTTGATTTTCCCAACGTTGCACAGAACGCGCTGAATTTCTTCGCTGCGCCGGGGCGAGTTGGTAAGGACGTCGCCCTTGAGAAAGAGGTTGGTTTTCATTGTTTCTGAGGCGTTGTTGTGAATGACGGAGGTTGATAGGGTGGTGCGAGAGAGGCGTGCAAATGATGGGAGTGGGAGAGATCTAGAGTTGGACAAACAAATGCATATCAATTTTGCTGTGAACAACAATCGTCTAAATCCAGCGAGAATCGACAACGGATGGGAGATCCCGTGCTTGTTTTCTTGCGGGAAAGCGATTGCCGGAAGGGTGTGTTGAGGCCTTCCCGAAAATATGTTTTCTGTACCAGATGGATCTGGGTACATTCTTTTTCTCCTTCCTCCTCACTCAGAGCTCCTTGATGCAAGCTGAAGTGTCACATCTTGAGCAGCAGGTGAAGCAAGTTTACCATGATCCTGTGTTTGGAAAAGACAACATTGAAGAAATATCGGGTGAGTGGTTGGGGTACCGTGAGCGTCCAGCGCCCGGCCTTTGCAGCTCAATAGCTTCCACCCCCGTAGGGTTGGTTTTTCACAAACGGCCAGTTTAGAGAGAAGATGTGTGCGCGTGAGATCATATTGGGAATTAAATAGAGCCAGCTGCATGAATAGCCGTCAGCGACCGCTCATTTTGATTAGGAAATAATGTAAATTCATCTGACGTTTTCATTAACTTCATCGCCAATGTGAGGACTCGGACACGATACGCTGGGACACCGTGCAGCATTTTCGTCCTTGGGAAAGAGTTTGCAGGTATGAAAACCAGTGTTCAAACAAAGGCGAGCTCTACATCTGTGCCTTCGGATGTTGTGATCTCGATGGCCTGGCCATTCACTTGGAGTGACTGGAGATCTATCCATCAAGACAAAAACAAACCCCCCTCGTCATTTTATCCTTCCTATATTGATCAGCAACAGCGCGGATCTCATCCCTCAACAACCCGAGCTCCCCCTGCCGACCCCAATCTGTGCCTTCCATCAGCACCTCCCTTCTTCCACCTTCGGAGAAAGTTCTTTCAGACCTTTGGAACCGTGCCCTCTTGAAGGCGTTTGCAAAGCAACATCTCTTTTCTCAACATCTCTTTTCTGCCAGACAAGATTTGTGGAATTTCTGGAGCTGTCCAAGGACAAGATCAGCCCGTTCGCGGCCATGCATAGATCTTGCGTCACGCGTCCTCGATTTCCACCTCTTCGGTCAAGAACAACAAAACATCGCCTTCATCTTCAACGCGATGAATCATGGGTACTGGCCTCCACGTCGTAGGGTTCTAGCTCTTGCGTGTAGAAGACCTCCATTAGATGTAACCGACCTGGGACTTTGGCAAGTGGGGCTGAGCCGTTGGAGCGTATAGGCTGAAGTAATTCTGGAATCTGACGGCATCGAGGGGGGCTGGCATGAGAATGATTTTGAGGTCAGACCGCCTCTTGGCAACACCTTTCAACAGACCCATGAAAATATGTGATATGTAAGTCTGGATAGGCAACGAATTGCGGGATTCTAATAGAGTTGTGGTCAGACGAGGGCTTTAGCATGACGGGATTCATTATGCGCACTAGGTGTCGTCTTCCCCGATCCTGTCTCGCCGACTATTACGATGGCTTGGCTTTCGCCGTAATTTATGACACCAGGCCAGATTTGAGAAAGTCGACACAAACTTTTTGAAGGTTGACAATTTGATCTAGCCAGCTTTTTCTGAGCGTCTTTAGTCGATGCATGCTGGCTCCAAGGTCTGTATGGGGCGCTGCAGTAAGCAGAAAATGTTCGCGCGCAGCTACAGCGCTAGCCGGGGTTCATTCACCATTATAATGAGGACGGTTGATGTGCACCGTGGGAAACTCTTCAAAACCTATTACGTTTATGTACAAAAATTTTAAGTATATACTTATATAAGGACATGTGAAAGCCACCAAAGAAAATCGCAATTGATTGGGTGTTTAATTTCTGCGCCTTTTCCCCGGAGGTGCGGAAGCTTCGCGTGTAGCTGACATCCAACCATATGTCAATAAATTTACCTAACAACGCGACTGACTTACCTGATCTTTTCACGGGAAGTAGGTCATCACTAGCTGGCTCAAAGTCTTCGTCCATGTCACCAGTGACTTCCATTCCATCTGCCTCTGATTGCCAATCACCCGGTTCGAGCTTGAACGGTGAATTCTTCACAGCCTGAAAATACAATCTGTCTTGGCCAGTCAACCCCGAAAGATCGACTGCCATGTCACTGTCAGCCAGACGTTGGTGGCAGCGTAAGGAGCATCCTCACATAGACAGCGTACATCAGTCTTCGGATGGCTGAGAGCCCTGACTTGATAGCTGATTGTTTTTGGCCATGAAAAACTGTCCGCCTCGTTGGCCATGGCCATCTGCTCGCGGAATTCTCGGGGAAACCCCTTGTAGAAAAGGGCGATTTCCCTCTCAAACTTTTCCTTCGTACAATCCTTTGCTCCACCAATACTTTCCCTCAGAGACATGAGCTTGAGATCCACCAGACACCTCAGTTGCCGACCCAGATACTTCCACCAGAGATCGCGCACACTGTCGATTGATCTACCGCTGGAATCCAGAAGTTCATATTTGGTAAAGACATGTAGCAACATTTCTCGGCTGATCTTCCGTGCAGCAATGCACTCCAAACGGTGGAGGGGCGACATTCCTGGATCAGCTGGGCGGGAAGAGTCGGAATTGCCTGTGGACGACGCAACCTCATAGGTCGATTGATCGACAACATTAAGCAACTCCATGAGAGCGCAAAACGACAAGAGATCCAAAACACCTTCCCACATCGTAACATCCGGAACATGGGCAGCAAAACGGGCTACAAAAAAAGGACTGTAAGAGAGTCAGATCGCGTTTAAGAGAGAACATACCCGAGCCTCTATTTTCGCCAAGAACAATATTTGAGTGCCAAAAGAACCCCAGCCGTCGGAGAAGAACGCGTGAAGCAGCGTGAGTAGTATTTGTCAGATGCCCCCCCGAAGTAAATGCACGATATAGTGCGACAGCCGTTTCCCTGATGGAACCGCTAGAATAGAAGTGTCCCCCGTGGCAGATCGCATGGGACACTGTCAGAACCCAATGAGGAGTATTAGGTGGCATATACCTGTGGAAAGTCATTTTTGTGCTGTTCTCCTCTTGTCGCAAAAGATATAACTCACAGCCGCGTACCAGGAACCAGGAGCATGGCTTCCACAGCAAATATATGGGCGTTCGGGCCCTCCATATTATAGTGTTCGACTGAAAAGATATCCGTTCTGGAAAAGGCATCTGGATCACCCAAAGGGCGTGCCACCAGCCACAACTTCTCCCCAACCAAAGGTTCGACAAAGGTACCAAAGCCATCTGAATCTATATGCCAATAGTGGATAGCATTTGTGTTGCCGGCCAATCCCCAGCGGACGTCGCGACTGGGGAAATGGGAGGAGGAAGCGTTGCACCAAGCAGTGTTTTCAGTTGCGATCCAGGCTGCGAGGTCACTGGCAATGCCATCAGGTTTCGCATCAGCAACGGCGAGGGGAAAATTGAGGGCATTCAAAGTGCGACCGTCGCGCGAACTTGCGCTTGCTAACAGATGCCTGAGAGTTCCAAATTTTAATCTGACGTTATAATCGCCGTTCTTGGCTGGGATCGATTGATCTGAAAGAAATATCGTTATAGTCGGTGCGGGGAATTTGAATAATAACAAGTGGCCGCACCCTGCACGTCAACGGGCACATCAATCCCACCAATTTCACTCATGCCGTCTTCATCAAAAGCAAGACCATCCGTTGGCAGACCAGTAATGACGAGAACCTTTTTTCTGCGCATTAAGTCCTGTTTTTGACTATGACTCATTTTTTTGAAGTCGTCATGTGTCGATATCCAAAAGATTGAATCGTCCGGTTTTGCTATGTGAAGGGGCAGGCGCGGTCCTTCAGGAGACACACAGGTATACTGCTGCAAAACAGAATTCCACACTGCGTCAAAGTGACCCAGGTCTGATTTTGCCTACTCAAATTGTCAGGTAAAATCCATGAGACATGTATGAAAGTGAGATGCTGACATGAAAGGATGGTATGTAACTGGTCGATCTGTCTTCATGTGGACCGTAAAGCAAGTACTGCTTGGGGCTTTTGTATTTCTGATACGGAGAGTTAGCCCCAAGCCATGAGCGTCCAAAATTAAAGAGCTAAGTACCCGGGTGATCTTGTCAAATTCCAGGGTTAGCGGGGGTCGAGGCGCCTAGCGATGGTTTATAAAGCTTCGAAGTAAATCAACCAGTTAGCTCACCGCTAGGCGCTCCATTTCAGCTTCATCGATAGGCCATTCAGAGACTGACCCGATCCCCGTTATGGTAGTAATTTTCCTTTCGCTTTTTGTGCGAGTTTTGCGGCCAGGGCGGCCCAAGCTCTTGCCAGCATTTTTCTTTCCCTTGTCTGATTCAGAGACTGACCCGATCCCCGTTATGGCAGTAGTTTTCCTTTCGCTTTTTGTGGGAGTTTTGCGGCCCAAGCTCTTGCCTTCGTTGTTCTTTGACTTGTCTGCAACTTGGGGGAGGACATCTTCGTCGGAAGATAGGTCAGATAGATCACTTAGATCTCCAGATGTGCCCTCGCTGCGGTCGTCAGCGCTGCAGCCCAAAGCGCCATTTCCGGCCATCTGAACGCCAGTGCCACAACGTTCTGGTTCATGCTGATCACCATTGGAGCGGCCGCCGCCAGGGCCGTCGTCCAAAGCACCATTTCCAACCATCTCACCGCCAGTGCCACAACATTCTGCTCCGGGATTGTGATGCTGATAATGATCGGGGGGGGCTTCGGGTGCTTGATCGCCACCGTGACGGCTGTCGTCCACCGCACCATCTTCAACCATCCGATAACCAGCGCCACAACATCCTGGTTGCGCATTGTGATCACTATGGTGGCAGCCTTCGGGTGCTTGATCGCCACGGCTGTCGTCCACCGCTCCATCTTCAACCATCCGATCACCAGCGCCACAACATTCTGGTTCGGGGTTGTGATGCTGATCACTATTGGGGCGGCCTTCTGGTGCTTGGTCGCCGCGGCTGTCGTCCACCTCACCATCTTCAACCATCCGATCACCAGCGCCACAACATTCTGGTTCGGGACTGTGATGCTGATCGCTATTGGGACGGCCATCCTCCGTTATCCTCAGTGGCCAAGATGGAGGAAGCTCTTGGATATCGATATCGTCCAATGCCTCTAGGTATCTCATTTCCTTTCTCTCCGCTAACAGGGCGTCATTACAAAGTAGTAGGAGGGGACTTTTGACACATACCCGCGTGGAACCATTGACGTTCACTTTTTGTAACACCGCCCAGCTTCTCCCAT